TACTGAAGAGGTGTGCAGACTGAGTCTCTCTGCCTTTAGATATCCTCAGGCTGTCAGTCTGAGCAAGCCAGAGCTGGGGCAAATACCTGGCTGTAGGTACTTTTGTGCTGTCTTGGTCTCATCATGCCACCTTCTCTCAAATACACGAAAAAGTTTGAACTATGTATGAGTTCTGCAAGGAAGCCTCTGAAACAGACTCCTCCTTGACAAGCCATTCAGTGGCTGTGCTACTGCTCTAATGGCAACTGGCAGAGGAGGGAGACTTCAGCTACACATCCCCTGCTATGGAGTAAGCATCACCTCAGCACTTGCAGAGTTTCTCAACAGAAATTTCGTTTGGAAAAATGGGATCATGACAACCTGTTTACAATAGCATTGCTGCAGAAGCATTAGAAATCACTGCTGACTCCCCCAAACTGAACACTTAGGTCTAGTTTCATGACACAGACTGTTAGCTGATCTCTTTTCACAGTGCTGTGGATGAGACTGGGTCTGCACCCTCTATGTTTTTGGCATGCTGCCATGTCATTGTGGTAACCTACCTTTAAAAAAGAAAGGAAGAAATCAGTACGCACTAGTGAATAAAGAGGACAGCACATTATACCATCCACAGACTTTTAAAAACCTAAATGGATTCACATCAAAGCAAATGCTTGCTTTCCTCCTTTTACTCCTTTTCTTAAGCAGTGTCAGAACCGCACTGAGCCAATGGCTAAGTGTCTTCTACTAACATTAATTTGATTGTAACACAACTTCTAACTAAAGAATGCAAGAATAATAATGCACAAACTGACAATACGTATTTCTTCTTCTACTCTGCCAATGCATCCATTGATATACTTATTCCTAAACAAAAATTACAGTCCTTCTCTGGCTTTGCTTTGCTATATGGACTAAACATACAAACACTTCCAGGCTCTTCTTATCTCCCTAAAAATGATTGTTATTATCACTCCTTTTTACTCCAGTAGACGTTTTATTCACCTGGTCAAGCTGATTTATCCCTCTTAAATGCTCATGACCAGAATAAACAAAAGAAATGGTATTCCTTTTTTTTTAAAAAAAAAAAAAAAGTAGCAAGGAATTGAGATAGTTTTAGTCAGGTCATAAAAATACAACAATGCAATGAATATTGTCGGGCTTTGCTATAGCTAAGAAGTATTACAGAAACAATAAAACAGACACTATCTTGTTACATTAATTAATATTTTTTTTTAAACCCATGTTGAGAATCACTTGAGCAATAATATGACATCAGCCAGCACTCTGCAAACAGATGAAGCAAATATTCCAGAACCTTCAACAAAAGAATTTCATACTGAAAAATGCAACTAAAATCAGAAAGCTGTCCTCCTATCTGGTTAAAATAAAAAAGTTTTAGATTTCCTTATTGTTACTAGAAAATAGCAAAATGCTATATATAACTTAGTTTTGGAGGATTATCTCTATTGATGACAGTAAAAATATTTACATATGCGTGTTGAACCATAGGAAACCACATTATCACCACCAAATTGTAAAATCAGAGCTTAAAAGAACTTAACAGACCTTCACTGCAGGTATCATCATACTAGGACAGGCAGCAAAGGTAAACCTAGCATATAAAAATCAAAGAGAATGTCCTGTGGTCAGAGGAACACATTTTTATCCTAGACTACTGTTCACTTTGCTGATACAGTCATTCAGAGAAGTTTAATCAACCCCTTTTTAATATGTCTCTTGCTAATGTCCAAAAGCAGCCATACTGACCTGGGTACCCAGCATGACAAATTGGAACCAGCCTAAACATATTTAAATGCTCAAATCACACAGTCATGAAGAAACAAACAAGGCACATGGATTCTTAATCACACTGAAGGAGTCTTGAGCAGTTGATTTACCATTTACCTCATGTATAAGCTGTTAGATGTCCACTGTGCAAAGCAGGCTTCTGGGGACTCTGCCTTCAGCCTGCCTTCCTTCCAAGTTTTGTTCCTGCTCTTAGAAGTAAATGCCAAGACTATGGCTTCACTAAGCCTGGCTGTCACTGATGTACCATACAACATGAACTACCATCCTTACAGACCTTCATACGTGGCAAAATGTAAGTTGGCATAGATTCCCACAGGGCTGAAACTACAGACCTCAGATGATTTCTTAGGAGCATAGAGCTCCTGCAAGCCGATCATGAAACTTGCTAACTTACTTATCAGAAAGCTACAGGTAACAGGAAGTTAAGAGTCCCCCCTGGTCACATATATGAAACTTCTTGTTAAGAATGACTGTATAGGCAGCCCTTTTGACCCATCATTTGTTCAATGCCAGCATTACCCAGACACCTGAATTGGGCTGTAAACCCCGGGAGGATTGCTGATTCATGGAGTACTACAAGATGGGGTCAGTGACACTGATGAGCTGCACCCAACATGCATCTTTACCAAGATCTTTGACTGCACAAAGAACAATCTAAAGGGCTTTCCAGATACACTCGTCAGCAGCAGACACTACATATTGTTTTCCTTTCTCTGCAACAAAGAAACAGAAAAGCAAGGGAAAAAGAAAACAATGCAAGCAGCCCCTCAGCCAGCCAAGAAGTTAGAGAAAGCTGCAGAGCTACAACCACCAGCTCTCTAAGCTAAAGAAAAACTGAACACAAGTGGTGTCATTTTTTGTTTTGTTTCTCCCTGAGTGATTAATGTAACTTTTGTATAACTTTACTGACAAGGCAACAAATGAGCCAGATTCCTAATTTTAAAGCCATATCACTATCCAGGCAGTAATTTACTGCTTTGTACAGTGTCTGGCAAATAGGACAGTCAAAGGGCTAGAAAGACAGTTGTGACTTGTGGCTTGTCTCAATACCCATTTGTTGTCAGCTCCCAGGAAAACTATGTCTGACCAAGGATGCTGGCAGGCAGGCATCTCAGTTCGTCACTCTGCTTAACAAGGCCTGTCCTTCACACTCAGAAAGTAACAGACCCTGGTTATGACAAAAGCATCTGCTCAAAAATACTAGCTAGGGGAAAAGAGAAAAGTCACAGACAGAGTCAGCGCAGGATCACTTTACACAAAGAGAAGGAAATCAAAAGACTTTCTTATATAACCTCCTTTTTAATATATTTGTAATTTCATAATAAACATGAACAAAACTATTCTCTGCAAAAGCAGAAAGTGGCATTTCCTTCCTGATTCTTGCACTATTAGCACCCCAATAGAAATATATTTACTTTCTTTAAGTAGATACTGCAAGGATGGGGTTAGGAACAAGCTTCACCTAGTTGTCATGAATTATTAACCAGAAAAAAAATCCCTCTCGTTGCCCTTTCCAGATACTTGATTTGCAAGCTTAAAAATCAAACTGACATATGTTTCTTGTACAAATAGTCAACCTTTTAAAAAATGCTCTGAGCTTTATAAATACATTTTTTTCATTAATATGAGAACAACAGTTCTATAAATAGCTATGCTTCACAGAACTGCTTCAAGACATTGTTTTTACAGACAACAGTAGGAAACTGAAGGAGGTCTTAGTGCCAAACATACTAAAAGTGAAATAAACTCTCCAATCAACTCTGAGTTTCCATTTATTATTACAAAGATTGTCGAAGTTTTTTTGCTTACACAATTAGTTTATGCAAGGGAAGGAAGAAAAGGGAAGACTGCACCGTGTTCTGGCATAGCTACTGGACTAGTGTAAATCAGTCATGGCCTTCAACTTCTGAGGGCTTTGACTTTGCTTCTTTGGGCAGCAATTTAACAACTCTGGACTGTCAACAGATGAACCCACTACTAACCAGCACCACTTTGCACAAGCAAACAAAGACAAGATATATTTTTTTTATACATAACTTCGTTATATGATTTCCATGTACACTGACTCAGAACTGTGCTCCATCTCCTCTAGAAAGCAAACATAGGAAGACAAATATGATCCATTGTAATAGCAAATTGCCTGTACAGTCTGCATATTTAATGGTTGCTACCTCCTCAAGAAATTTTTGCATTGGTATCTAAACAAAATCAACAGGAAAAAACTCCAGCTACTCAACTGGTAAACCAGGTTTCTGTAGCCAGCATACTACAAATACGTGTTTAGTCATTTTTGCATATTCTCCAACACAAGGCCAGAGCTCAAGCACCACCAAGTTCTAACACTGTTTTCAACAGGGAACCGGTACAAGCACTTACTTCATAAGTACTTGGGAATTAATTTGTAAAATAAGGAGGATCCCATGCAGTTCTTACCTTTGATACAGCATTTTACTGTAACAATTGCAACAACAGTTTGCTATTATAGATCTGTTACAAGATATGAAACAAACTGCACCCCACACTGCTCAGGGTTCAGATATTCCTTCCCCCCAGTGCAGCTCGTCAGTGTCTAACAGCTGGAAATACGACAGTGCTGATTTCAAGGGGTGACATGGATGTGAAACTGGAGTAACACGGTGATGAATCAGGCCATGAGCTTTTCCAAGAGCTCCCCAGCCATAATAGTGATCTAAGCATACCGGAATGTTTTTAAAAGACAGCAAGTGTCCAGCGAGGATTAGTAAGAACTTAGTGACGTGGCCCACCAAGCATGGCCAGGAAGCACACAGCAGTTCAGAAGGAAGAGTTCAAAGGGAGCTTTGGCCTCTGGGAATTCCAGGTCTGCTGTGCCCTACAGCCAAAATCTTCAGTGTACAGAAGGTAGGACAGAGAAAGCACAAGCCAACTATGAACCACAATGGCATCCCAAATGGATCCTTGCCTGTAAAGCAGGACAATTATACAACTCACTGGCCATCACATCATTAACATGGCTGGAAAGCACCAAGTCTTGCATTTATCTCTCAGTTTTATACACCAGGCATGAGCCACAGGCCTGTTTTATTTGCTCCCCAGAAGAGCAGAGGAACACATGCTGATGTAATGCTTCTCTGCTGTGCCAGGACTGGCATGCAAAGCCTCCTGACTCCTGCCCATCAAAGCACAATAAACAGAAAGAACCATTCTGGAGAAGGAACCTTTTCTCTTACCTTATTTTGATCTGTCCAGTAAAAGAAAAATCCCTGTGGATCTGTTCTAAGGATAATTGGAGTCACAACAGCGGAGTCCTGGAACAAAAAAAGGACAAACAAAAGAAATCCATGTCAGCACACAAAACACGTAAATATGCACTACCTGCTTTGCCACCCATATTAATGAATTGTACCATCTAGAAATTACCCTGAAGGTACCACTAGCAAGATGTCACTTAAAGAATTTAGTATCACCTGTCTGATCTCCATTTTTCTGACATAATGTATTTCCATTACTGAGAAGACAGCACTAAGTAACTCCAGGCTTGTCAGCACATGGAGTTACTCCAGAAAAGCTGGAAAGAGATGAAGTTAAACAGACATAACACAGTTAACCTTGAGCCCACATAGTAAAGTACTATAGTTCTCACAAGTCCACTGCCCGCCTTGATCCAAATTAACCTTCAGATATAGACAAGAGCTACGTGTTTAAGCTTCACTTTCACATACAAAGACTGAATTTGCCTAGAAAACCTGGAATAATATCCACTACGTTAAGTTTTTTCCTCATTGCTTTCCATTTGTATTTTTCTATTTTTTCTACAATACAATTAGGAAGATTTCAGTCCTCCAAATCAGTTGAAAACCTGTCTACTCTGGTGGCATCCATGTCTCAGATCATTTAAAACCAAGCACATTTCACATACTGTAAAGCAGCCTGGTTTCCTACATATTCACGTATTCTGACTGACAGCAGGTACCTGACTCAGGAGATACAAGCTCTAACCAAAGCTTTTTCCACAGGTAGGTGTTCATTGCCTCTCTCACCCACTGTGACTCTCTGGTGTCTAACAATAATTGACAGCAGCGCAGACTGGTCCTAATGGAATCCCTCCTCTCTTCCCTCTACTACTTTTCATGACATCTTTAAAACCACTGTTATCTTAAGACCTCTACCTGTTTGCCAAACGAGTTTTAAAAGTCATGGAGGGAGCACAGAAAGGAGGAAGAAGACAGGCAGACAGAAACATTGTTTAAGTTTTATTTCCACACAAAGCCACGCTAAACATGATTTATCCTCAAAAAGGATGTATATTTCTGTTAAAGTGTTACAGATATATTACAGCTTTAGTATTCAAGTATTTCCAAAGCAGCAACATGTGAGGTCCGACTACATCCCTTTAAGGAAACAGATGATCTCTAATAGTTTGAAATTGAAACAAAATATATTTAACTGTGGTTTTCCTAAGAGCAAATAAATTTGATGGAAGTGACATTATAATAAATAAATAAAAACTAACTAATGCAAGTACCGTTTCTGAGGCAAGATAACACTTGTCTATATTATGCTACCAGTACAGTCTTTTGGAACAGAGTACCAAACTCCTAGCAACAGGAATTTGTGAAACAGGGAAGATGAGTTATTCCCAGTTTACAGCTGGAAAAAAATGAGGCTCAAAGAAGTTACAAGGCCCAGCAGCAGTCAAAAGCCTGTGGGGGAACAAATACAAGAATAAAATGGAGTCAAGTGTGAAGTCTATTTTTATCCCAGCACAAGAGAAATACAAATAAAAGAGCAAGTTCTACACTAAGAAGAATACAAGATCAGACCCTTAGTTGAGAGTAAAAGTCTCATTTGTAAGCGGAATATCTGGGCTGTGGATTAACTCTGCCACAGGTACATTGACACTGAAATGGGTGCCACGTGAGCTTGTGGAGGCCAGCAACCAGTATGGCTATAGGAATGCCAAGCTGTGCCATAGGAATGTCCCAGCTGGGATCAGAGCTCATTCACAAAGTGCCATTGACCCTTCTTTTCCTCATTACAAGAAAACAGCACTGTATGCACTTCCCCTCAGAGAAAGGGCATGCAAAATTTGTACCATTGCCATAGCTTCTAGTGTCTCACACACCTGACAGTCAGGCACTGCTTGAGTGCAACAGGCAAATTTATTTTTAAAATATGTCAGGCCCTGAATAGATGTCGACTGACTGTCTGTATCCTCAAGCTCCTACTAAAGTGTTGTTAAACCTCTGCCACTCAAAAGGAGAAAAAAAATCAAACTTGCTCTGGAGATACAGCTCTCCTTATTTAGCCTATTTCCTTAAGTGCTATGCAGCCTGTATATAAATATGTAAAGTGAGGAAATAAAAAGACTAGGCATCCTCCTGCCTTAGGATGAGACATACACAAATTTGTGGGGGAAGAGAAGGAAGTGATGGGAAACAGACAGGCATGAAACGATTATTATGTCTAGGATTAATCAATTTTGCTGGTTAATCATTTCAAATCAGTTGGTTCAACCCAAAAGCTGTTTGGATTTGTCTGTGCTAATGATATACAGCTGTCAAAGTAATACTTTTGTAGTTGTGAATTGTAAAATGTTGACTATAATCAGACTCAAAAAAGTGAAGGATTAGGGGAAAGAGCCTTCAATATGTTTGTTTGCTTTTTAAAATCAAAAAAGAAAGCTGTGCATTATGCCTCTAAATTAAGTACACTACTCTTGACATTAAACATAGCACAATTAACATGCTGATGAGAACCTCACGCTGTATACAAACAAGATTTGAGAAGAACTTTGTACATGTACCTGTGTAACACATGCCACACAATCAACAGCAGCAATAAAAGTCACGTGCACAATGTTTTATATGTTCTACAAGCTAACTATAACTCTCAAAAGTCCCTGACACCAAAAGCCAGACTACTTAGCTCTGAGTGTAGAAGAATAGAAATAACCTTCTCTAGGCAGCTCTGCAAGTCCTGCTCCTCACTGTTATGTGGAACAGATCTGTTGCTTTTCAGCAACCCGCAGTCATTCATGAGAGTATCCTACATCATAACCCTCCTGAACAAACTTACCAACCATACACCACTTGGAAGAAGAGAGTAACAGACAGGGCACAACAGATAAAAGGGGAGGGGAAAACAACCCCACAACATAACAAAAAACACAACAAAACTTGAAGGACAAATAAGCAGGGAGGAGACACTCATTTCTTCCCTAATCCACTGTGAAGAACCCAGTCAGACTCAGAATGGGAGAATAAAACAGATAGGGAGTAAAGGTGACTGGTAAGGTTTCCAATAAATAGCTACTGCAAATTCCTTCACTTGAAAGACCTGGAGTGGCCCTAACCTGGCAGTTCCAGTGTTGTTAGATATCACACCAGTGTAAACTTCAGTGAATAACTTTTAAAAGGGCTTTTAATTTCACCTTTAAAAGCCCCCCATCTTTTTATTTGTTGAATTAAGGCCAAGTCTCTACTTTCTTCCAATTTCACAGTCTCAAATGAGTAATGTGGTTTTTCTATACTTATTCCATTAAGTTGCTTCCTAATTGGCTGTACAACCTCACACCCTGCATTAGCAAGATTCTTTTCTTTTCTACTTTTAAACAAAAAGGTTTCAAATTTATGCCCACAAAGTGCCACAGAGAACTTTGAGATCCTCATCAATCAGGCAGAGCAGAACATGGGCATAGAAGATCAATAGATAAATCTGTATGTAAGTGTCCTCCAGGTATTTGTTTCAAGGTCTAGTTTTAAGTGTAGGTCTCCCAGACTACATCTAACATCAATGAGCAAAAAGTGACACCTCCATTATAATATTAGTGACCAGTAAAGACCAACAAGATCCCCTCCAGCTCCTAACATACTGTGATCACATTAAGCCAAGCAGTGAAGAGGCTGGAAACCTTGGTTTAATTCCATTTTGCCTGTATGTCTATGATTCCTACTCTTCAGAACACCCTCTCCACCAGGCTGTGCATCCAGCCACAAAAGAAGGAGCCTTCTACCCTACTCCTCAACCATTGCTGATAAGACCTGAAGAGACATGAGGCAAGAAAGCACAGCTACATGAGGGTGCATCACTCTGCCATCTACATCCTGGGCCCTTGTTCCCAATATTCTCTGTACTTCATTCAGTATGTATTAAGGCAATGATGTAACATGATTGCCACTATGTCTTATGCCAAGCACAGTTCAGTGTTAAAATTATCAGAAAACACCATAGGTCAGGACTAGTGTGCCTACGATGCACATATTGGGTCAGTCCTGCCATGGAGGAAAAGCTCCTAATGGATCTTAAATGTACCTACAGGGGAATTAAAACCTACATATACCTCATCAACTAGAAAGACCATATGTCAGATGAGTATGTATTTTATTAACTCTTATAATGATGATGCTTCTTAGAAACAGATGCAGTCAAAAATAACATCTACAGATCTTTAAAAGGAAAGCAGACCAACCATAATCTTCATTTCTTACAACAGATGGGGTTCACAGCACTGCCTTATAAATCCAGACAGTTGTTTCCTGTTTTTGCCTCAGATCTTGAGAGACAATGAACATTCCCAAATACAACCTGAAAATTTTTACACACGCAATTATTTCATTTGGCTGAACCTTTTTCTGGGAAAATTTCTGCCCAACTGCTTCCAAACATAAGGCTAAGAAATACAGATAGTTTCTGGAAGAGGCAAAGTATTCTCCAACTTTTCTTTCAGTTTGGAGAAAGAGCTTGAACTCTGGTTGAGCAAAGGTGTAAGGCTGTGAAAAAAAAGGTGTGAGAAGAGTCCCTGCAAAGAGCTTTCTTGCCACCCCACAAACCAGGGCAATTACAGCCTTGGGGGAGTGGAGTAGGAACAAAGGAGAAGGAATAGCAAAACCATAGTTTACACATGAGCAGCAGATACAGTAGCTGTTAAATTCCATAATACACTGGATGAACTCAGACTGGAACTAAGCAGGATTACCCAAACAATCAGAACTATGAGTTTTTTCAGGCTGACAGCTGAACTATGAGTGAGAAGGAAAGAGTACCCAACCCCTGCTTTTGAAACAAACTCTTGAAATAATCCAGAAAGGTAAAGACGCCTCTTTTTACTGAGGACAATTGCCACATAAAAGATTAGACTGCAAGAAGGAAACACTGGAGAACGTGAAACCAGTGCTGGAAGTAGGAAGTGGGACAAAAATAAAAGCTGGAATTGAGTTCGCTGGACCTGAAAAATGAAATCCCACTTGTTCAACAAGAACATGCAGGACAATATTCTTCACTATCAGGGCAGTTAAACACTGGAGAA